TTAATAGTTTATATCATTTTGTTTGAACTTTTGTTAATATCATCGTTGTTTACATCAACTGCTATTTACATCACTTGTTGTTTACGTTTTGTTGTTTACAATCCAAACCTGGTATTAATAACATTCAACCCGAATCAGCGTGGGTCTGTCTTTACATAAGTATGAGAGGCGAGGACACACACACACACACACACGAGGAAGACTTCTCGTTCCTCTATGTACAGTACAAGAAACTAGATAGAGTTAAACACTTCAATATAGAACCCAAAACATTGCCTTATTCCGTGTATAAAAGGAGTTTACTAATAGATGTTCCTGCTATCCATTTAGACCGAGAAGAAACTGAGCTGGCAGTAACAGTTAACAGTTACTTCTTGTTTCTTAGATATATATAGAGTTCCACTTAGACTGAGAGGAGAGCTTGAGTTGACAGTCTACCAGTTACTAGGACGACACGTGTAATGTCTGACCTCACGCTGCAGGACGCCAACTACACTATGTTACACACACACGAGCTACATACTCCTCTATACACCATACTCCTCATACACCATTAACTATACAGTATATTAATGTGTATTAATATAACTAGTGTTTACATGTGACAGTACATCACTATGTAACAAACGGTAGACTTATTATACCTACTAAAAATATCGGATTTGGAAATATACAATCCTAATTAGTTTAATATTACATTAGTATAAAACTTAACCTTAGAATTAGTAATATTTATTTATTTATTATAACTCTACCACAAGTTAGTCTCAGTGTTACCAACATAAGCATCAGTTCCTAGAGTTTCAGTGTTACCAACATAAACATCAGTTCCTGGAAGCAGTTCATCTAAACCCACAAATTTGTCAAGTTAAAACTAAAGATTTATTGTAAATGAGAGTTAAAGAGCAAGTGGTCAGAGTGTGAAAGTCTCTGTGTCGTGTTCTGTCGTTTCCTGTCGTGTCGTGTCGTTTCGTGTCGTGTCGTGTCGTCGTGACGTGTCGTAACATGTCGGAACATGTTGTGTCGTCGTGACGTGTCGTAACATGTTGGAACATGTTGTGTCGTGTATTGTAACGAAGAAAAAGAGGGGAGGAAAAAGATTATAAAAAGGATAAGGAGGAGGAATAGGAAGAGAAAAAAGGAGGAGTGGAAGAGATCAAATTGTGGATAATGCCAAGACAAAGAGGAAGGGAAGGAGGGGATCGAACCAGTGTATTAATAGAAGCAACAACCAGTCAACACTCCGTGTCCTCCACCGCACCCTGACAGTGCATAGTAAAATAAGAGATAGTTAATAAGTTTATATCATTTGTTTACATCAGCTTTTGTTAATATCATCCGTTGTTTACATCAACTGCTATTTACATCACTTGTTGTTTACATCAACTGTTGTTTACATTCGATCCAAACCTGGTATTAATAACATTCAACCCGAATCAGCGTGGGTCTGTCTTTACATAAGTATGAGAGGCGAGGACACACACACACACACACACACGAGGAAGACTTCTCGTTCCTCTATGTACAGTACAAGAAACTAGATAGAGTTAAACACTTCAATATAGAACCCAAAACATTGCCTTATTCCGTGTATAAAAGGAGTTTACTATAGATGTTCCTGCTATCCATTTAGACCGAGAAGAAACTGAGCTGGCAGTAACAGTTAACAGTTACTTCTTGTTTCTTAGATATATATAGAGTTCCACTTAGACTGAGAGGAGAGCTTGAGTTGACAGTCTACCAGTTACTAGGACGACACGTGTAATGTCTGACCTCACGCTGCAGGACGCCAACTACACTATGTTACACACACACGAGCTACATACTCCTCTATACACCATACTCCTCATACACCATTAACTATACAGTATATTAATGTGTATTAATATAACTAGTGTTTACATGTGACAGTACATCACTATGTAACAAACGGTAGACTTATTATACCTACTAAAAATATCGGATTTGGAAATATATAATCCTAATTAATTTAAAATTATATTAGTATAAAACTTAACCTTAGAATTAGTATTATTTATATATTTATTTATTATAACTCTACCACAAGTTAGTCTCAGTGTTACCAACATAAGCATCAGTTCCTAGAGTTTCAGTGTTACCAACATAAACATCAGTTCCTGGAAGCAGTTCATCTAAACCCACAAATTTGTCAAGTTAAAAGTAAAGATTTATTGTAAATGAGAGTTAAAGAGCAAGTGGTCAGAGTGTGAAAGTCTCTGTGTCGTGTTCTGTCGTTTCCTGTCGTGTCGTGTCGTTTCGTGTCGTGTCGTGTCGTCGTGACGTGTCGTAACATGTCGGAACATGTCGTGTCGTCGTGACGTGTCGTAACATGTCAGGAACATGTCGTAACGTCGTGACGTGTCGTAACATGTTGGAACATGTTGTGTCGTGTATTGTAACGAAGAAAAAGAGGGGAGGAAAAAGATTATAAAAAGGATAAGGAGGAGGAATAGGAAGAGAAAAAAGGAGGAGTGGAAGAGATCAAATTGTGGATAATGCCAAGACAAAGAGGAAGGGAAGGAGGGGATCGAACCAGTGTATTAATAGAAGCAACAACCAGTCAACACTCCGTGTCCTCCACCGCACCCTGACAGTGCATAGTAAAATAAGAGATAGTTAATAAGTTTATATCATTTGTTTACATCAGCTTTTGTTAATATCATCCGTTGTTTACATCAACTGCTATTTACATCACTTGTTGTTTACATCAACTGTTGTTTACATTCGATCCAAACCTGGTATTAATAACATTCAACCCGAATCAGCGTGGGTCTGTCTTTACATAAGTATGAGAGGCGAGGACACACACACACACACACGAGGAAGACTTCTCGTTCCTCTATGTACAGTACAAGAAACTAGATAGAGTTAAACACTTCAATATAGAACCCAAAACATTGCCTTATTCCGTGTATAAAAGGAGTTTACTAATAGATGTTCCTGCTATCCATTTAGACCGAGAAGAAACTGAGCTGGCAGTAACAGTTAACAGTTACTTCTTGTTTCTTAGATATATATAGAGTTCCACTTAGACTGAGAGGAGAGCTTGAGTTGACAGTCTACCAGTTACTAGGACGACACGTGTAATGTCTGACCTCACGCTGCAGCACGCCAACTACACTATGTTACACACACACTAGCTACATACTCCTCTATACACCATACTCCTCATACACCATTAACTATACAGTATATTTATGCGTATTAATATAGCTAGTGTTTACATGTGACAGTACATCACTATGTAACAAACGGTAGACTTATTATACCTACTAAAAATATCGGATTTGGAAATATACAATCCTAATTAGTTTAATATTACATTAGTATAAAACTTAACCTTAGAATTAGTAATATTTATTTATATATTATAACTCTACCATAAGTTAGTCTCAGTGTTACCAACATAAGCATCAGTTCCTAGAGTTTCAGTGTTACCAACATAAACATCAGTTCCTGGAAGCAGTTCATCTAAACCCACAAATTTGTCAAGTTAAAAGTAAAGATTTATTGTAAATGAGAGTTAAAGAGCAAGTAGTCAGAGTGTGAAAGTCTCTGTGTCGTGTTCTGTCGTTTCCTGTCGTGTCGTGTCGTTTCGTGTCGTGTCGTGTCGTCGTGACGTGTCGTAACATGTCGGAACATGTCGTGTCGTCGTGACGTGTCGTAACATGTTGGAACATGTTGTGTCGTGTATTGTAACGAAGAAAAAGAGGGGAGGAAAAAGATTATAAAAAGGAAAAGGAGGAGGAATAGGAAGAGAAAAAAGGAGGAGTGGAAGAGATCAAATTGTGGATAATGCCAAGACAAAGAGGAAGGGAAGGAGGGGGGGAGGGGATCGAACCAGTGTATTAATAGAAGCAACAACCAGTCAACACTCCGTGTCCTCCACCGCACCCTGACAGTGTATAGTAAAATAAGAGATAGTTAATAAGTTACCAATATAAACAATAGAGATATAGAGGGATTTTGTCATCAATTTAAAAAATATTTCAACTTTTGTTTTACATCTGTTTATTTCATTTGTTTACATCGCCTGTTGTTTATATCATCTGCTGTTTACATCAACTTTTGTGCGTATCATCCGTTGTTTACATCAACTGTTATTTACATCATCAGATGTTTACATCACCTGTTTACAGAACCTGATTATATAACCTGTTTACATCAACTGTTGTTTACATTCGATCCAAACCTGGTATTAATAACATTCAACCCGAATCAGCGTGGGTCTGTCTTTACATAAGTATGAGAGGCGAGGACACACACACACACACACACGAGGAAGACTTCTCGTTCCTCTATGTACAGTACAAGAAATTAGATAGAATTAAATATTTTAATATAGAACCCAAAACATTGCCTTATTCCGTGTATAAAAGGAGTTTACTGATAGATGTTCCTGCTATCCATTTAGACCGAGAAGAGACTGTGCTGGCAGTAACAGTTAACAGTAACTTCTTGTTTCTTAGATATATGTATATAGAATTCCACTTACATTGAGAGGAGAGCTTGAGTTGACAGTCTACCAGTTACTAAGACAACGCATTCCAGTTATCCAGTTAAACAGACTTAGAACAAAATGACAATCCTTTAGGTTCAAGTAAGTCATCTCTTCTTCACCTTGACCAAGGTCATTAAGTGACCTAAACTGACCTGGCACGGAACGATGTCATTTAACCTCATTCCCTTTCTAGATAACCAAAGCTAACCGGACCTCTAATGACCTCTTTTGACCTTATCCCGAGTCCATATAACCAACAGACCACGAATACATGACCTTGGTTTTGATTTGGTATATTATGACCTGACCTGACCTAGCTTTACCACAGAGGAAACTGGGTTGACCTGTTTCTCTACGCGCTTGTCTGCTCGTGTCTGTTGCAATTTTCTGTTGTAGTATGTTTCCGGTGTCTGTTATTGTCTGTGTTTTTATCTGTTGTGTCTGTTTTTGTTGTCTGATGTTGAGTATTGTTTTTTTGTGCATCTGTTTGGTATTGTTCGAGGCTGTTATCAAGTACTGTGCTGTTCTCTACCGCTGTCTAATATTATTTACTGTTATGTTGCTGTACTCTGTTGTTTCCTGAAGTAGTTTTCTGTTCCTGCTGTTGTCTACTGTTTCCTCTAGTAGTTGTTGCTGCTTCCTTCTGTAGTCTACTGTTTCCTCTAGTAGTAGTTGCTGCTTCCTGCTGTAGTCTGCTGTAGTCTGCTGTTTCCTGCTGTAGTCTTCTGTACCCTACTTTAATCTGGTAATCCCTGCTGTAATCTGCTATTTCCTGCTGCTTCCTGCTGTAGTCTACTGTTCCCTGCTGTAGTCTGCTGTAGTCTGCTCCTCCTCAGCGTAGGCAACACAAGCAACACACACCAACACCCTCGTCTCTCACCCTCTGCCAGGAGAGAGAAGGACACGAGGTTTACAAATGATCTCATCTTAGGAAAAGACATGATATTTTTATGCTTGTTTATATATCATGCCAACCAGGAATGATTATGCATTTGAATATTTACACGCCATCATGTCACTTATATAGTAAACATGATTTTTTAGTAGGTTATTTAAAACCAGTCATGTCATTCTGGGAAAAAAAAGTAACATGATTTAAAGACCCGAGAGAACGTATACTCCCGAGTCTAAATAAGGGAGAAAATGACATGATTAATTAAGAGGGAATTTATACATACACAAACAGGCATGCTAACAGACAGACGGGAAAAACAAAATGCCTTACTCTCCATAGTCTGTTGAGATTAGGTTAGTTTAGGTTAAGTTAGCTGTGTCATTAACCTCTCATAAGAAGGTAATAGAGTATATGATTGTAACTGGCAACTCCAGCTCGCCCAGCTGATGGACGTCAACAATAACAAAAACTCATCAGTCTGATCTTGGCACTGAGGGGGAAAGGACGTCAGAAATTATCTTCCTTTGGGAATTATAAAAAAGATGAAATAAAAGCTACCCAGGTTTAAGTTTACAGATGAGATGGATAGTTTTAATTGTACCTAGAGAACTGTTGTGTTATATCGTTCAGGTATATCGTGTTTATCGAAGTGGTTTAGTGAGGTTATATTAGCGAATTGGTTTAGTCAGGTGTATTAGTAGGTATGTAATTAATTAGGGTCACAATAAACAGCTTTAATTATTTCCACTTAGTTACTGTTTAGTGCTGAATGTAAGTAATACACACAGGGATATATTAGAGCTGTATACATGATATATTACAGGTGTATACATGATATATTAGAGGAATTTAGTCTGTGTTTACATCTTCTTTCTTAGTTCATTAATTCTTTTCATTCATATTTCATTCATTTATCTTAATTGTGTGTTGTTCCCTTCTCGTTTCTTTCAACTTACTTGTTCCTTCATTTCTCTTAGTTTCAACGGTATCTCATCCAGTTATTGGTGAAGCGATAATCCCAGCTCTCGGTTCTGTAAAATACGGAGACATGCGCTGACAGACAGACAGACAGACAGGTGCACAGACAGACAGACAGACAAAAGCATAAACACGAAAAGATGAATTGGTTCACACACACACACATACACACACACATGCAATGCTTATAGAAACATAAAATAACTAAATACTTAATAAACAAAGAAAACTAAATATATAAATAAATCAGGAATTACATATGGAGCAGGTGTAGGGCAGGTGAGATACCTTTCAGACTCAGTTAAGACTTAATTAAAACTCACGTAAGATAAATAACGCTTACATAAATAAGACTTAACTAATGCCCACTCAAGTCACACTCAAATAATACCCACTCAGGTAAGACTCAAATAATACCTATTCAAGTAAGACTCACTCAAGTAACACTCATTCAAATAAGACTCACTCAAATAAGACTCCCAACATACCTGGAGTGTGGACAAGGAGGCAGGGTACCATTGTTTCACATTGTTGAATCACACCGGGGGCTGGGAGCCCCTGCTGAGCAGAGAACTGGCTTTATGGAGCCATGGGACTGCTCACGAAATACGAGGGAACATACCCCGGCACACAATTCCTCCCCCCGAAACAAGAACAAAGAACAAGAAAACCCAAAACGCTGACCATATCAACTCTCAGACTTAAAATTCAATATCATCCAGTGGAATTGCAGAGGTGCTAGGAATAAAAATGCTCAATTTCATTTACTAAAGTCATTATTCCGGCCAGACGTTTTTTGCCTACAAGAGACGCTACTTGCGGGTCAGGACGACCCACTTGTATTTGACAACTACACGTCCTACAGGGGAGACAACCTAAGGGGGGTAGCCCTATATATTAGGAGTGAATTCGCTCAACAAAGAGTCAACCTGAGCGTGAACCTGCAGGCTGTGGCGTGCAGTCAAGTTTCGGTCTGACTATGTGGCCGTCTGCTCACTATACTGTCCTCCGGGCGGGCTCATTGCCGAGGGTGAGCTTGAGGAGCTATTTAACCAACTGCCAGGAAAAAAATGATCCTCAGAGACCTCAATGCTCACCATTTGCGGTGGGGCAGTGTCCGGAATGACGGGAGGGGAGAGCAGGTGGCTGCAACTATACTCAACTCCAACTTCTCTTCTGAATGACGGGAGTGCGACTCGAGTGGACGAACGAGTTGGCTCAGCGACAGCTATAGATCTCTCGATAGTTGATGCTTCCTTGCCATTAGACTGTAATTTTCTACATACGACGACTCCCTGGGTAGCGACCATTTTGCGATCTGCATTTCTTATGAGTGTGGCGCCCCAACGGCTACTCCCGAGGTGCGCTACAACCTTAGGAAAGCAGACTGGGGGCCATACTCAGGAACCGTTCGTATAGACACCATTGGAGAAGATATCAACACCAAAATGTCACACATAGAACAAGCCATAATACACGCAGCAGATTTAACAATTCCTAAGACTTCTGCAACTACCCACAGGCCTGGAGTTCCATGGTGGACACCAGACTGCCGACGAGTGGTTTGTGAGCGAAATAGGCGATGCCGTTTATTCAACAGAGTTCCATCTATTGAAAACCTCATTGAATATAAAAAAGCTAGAGCTAAGGCTAGGAAGGTTATCAGGGAGTGCAAGAGAGAGTCTTGGCGGGCATTCGTCTCCACTATTAACAAGGATACCCCTTCCTCTGAGGTATGGTCGGCTATAAACCGGGTCAGATCAAACGGAGGAAGGACTTTTATCCCACAGGTGAGTAGTGGAAGGCGGCTTCTCGACAAACCCCAGGCCATTGCCAACGCCCTAGGCCAGAAGTTCGCAGATGCCAGTAGCTCCACCAATCATGTTCCACGCTTCAGCGTGTTCCGTGATCGTGCCGAGCTCGTGCATCTCGACTTCGAGAACGGGGACGAACAAGACTACAACCGAGCATTTTCCCCAGAGGAACTTTCCTTTGCTTTAAAAAAGGGCAAGGGCTCTACTCCTGGACCTGACGGTATACGATACGAGATGATTAAGCACCTTGACCAAAGAAATCTGGACAAATTGCTAGAAGTGTTCAATGAGATCTGGACGTCCAGAACGTTTCCAAACTCATGGCACTTTGCCCATGTCGTACCGATCCCAAAGAGGGGCAAATGCCCTACTAACACCAACTCATTCCGTCCGATTTCGCTCACAAACTGTCTGTGTAAGGTCATGGAACGTATGATAAAACGTAAGCTAATGTATTTTTTGGAAAGTAACAACTTATTGAGTGATCGACAGTGTGGTTTCCGCCAAGGTAGAAGCACACTAAATCATTTAATAAATCTTGAAACTGACATCTCAAAAGCTCTATGCAGTAAAGAAACACTAATTGCAGTATTCCTAGACATAGAAAAAGCTTTCGACATGACATGGCGGGCTGGCCTCATAATGAAGCTCCAGGCCTTGGGTCTGAGAGGTAATTTGCCAATTTTCATTAGAAATTTTTTGCAAGACAGAACTTTTTCCGTCAAATTAAAAGGTAAAGTAAAGTCAGACACATTTGTCCTAGAAAACGGAGTTCCACAAGGCAGCATTTTGGGCCCAATATTATTTCTCATAATGATTAATGATTTCCTATCACCAGCACCCAGCTTAAGTGACCTCAAATTCTCCTTGTTTGCTGACGATTGCGCAATCTGGCGCTCCTCTCGGGTCGAGAGACAATCTGCACAAAGGGTGCAGGCCGGCCTAAAAGCCGCGGAACAGTGGGCAATACAATGGGGATTTAGGTTTTCAGTTGAGAAGACAGTAGGAGTAGTCTTCACTAAGAAACGTAACATTAATAATCCAGTATTAAAATTAAATGATACTCCTATTAAATTTCAGACTTCAGTAAAATTTCTCGGTGTTCATTTTGACCGGAAATTAACGTGGAAAAACCACATTAACGAGCTTGAAAGTACATGTCTTAAAGTCACAAACATCCTGAAAGTTTTATCAGGTACTACATGGGGAGCCGATAGGAAATCTTTATTAATGGTGTATAAGACCCTGATCAGATCGAAACTTGATTATGGATGCCAGTTGTATGCTTCGGCATGCGACACCACACTCGCAAAGCTTACCAGAATACAGAACCGATGCCTTCGTCTATGTCTGGGTGCTTACAGGTGTACACGTGTAGAAAGACTAGAGGTGGAGGCCCACGTCCCTCCACTCCACATCAGGAGGGACATGTTGACGCTAAGGTACAGGTTGAGTGCGGCTAGGAGGCGCGGCACAGGCCACCCAGGTTGGTGTGCTGTTGCTAAATTCCGTTTCCTGCAGCTGCGTAGGTCCCCGTCCTCGGTTGTCCGCCTCCAGACCTTGTGCCAGGGTGCTGGTATCCACTTCGAAGACGTTGATAGATACGTTCCACCGTTGTGTCCGCCATGGGAGAACCCCAACTTCCATGTGGAAACATCGTGGCTTCCAGGAGGGAAGAATGACCTACATCCTGAGCTCCTGAAACAACTTTTCTATCAATTTCTGGAAGGATACAGCGCCTATACTCACGTGTACACAGCCGGGTCCAGAACTGATGACAACGTTGGAGCCGGTATCTGGAGCAGAGAAAACGGGAATTTTATCATAGAAAACGTTATTTTATCATAGAAAATGGAAATTTTATCATAGAAAATGGGAAATTTTAAACAGACAATTTTATCATAAAATGGGAAATTTTCAATGTAGAAAACGGGATTTATAATAGAAAATGGGAATTATTCATCATAGAAAATGGGAAATTTTATTATAGAAAATGGAAAATTTTCATCAAAACTAAAATTTCATCATTGAAAATGGGAAATTTTAATAAAAGAACAATTTATATTATGGCCAATTCTATTAACCAACATGAGAATACTGTACACATAAAAAAATACCAAAATTTTTGAACAATTTGAATTAACAAAAAATAACTAATAAATAAAAAAAAAAAAAATCTAATAATTTTCAACAAAATTTCAAAATTTTGTCAAACATTTTCAAAATCTTTCAACTTTGTTTTTAAAAATTTCAGATTTTTTTTTTCATAAAATAATTAAAAAAAAAAAGTTATGTTTCAAACATTTCCATAAATTAAAAAAAATATATAAATAAACAAGTAAAACATAATTTTCCCCCAAATATCTAACAATTTCCCCCTAAAATTAAAAATATCCAAAACATTTACAAAAAATTTAAAAATATTTCCAAAAATTTTCAAAATATTTTAACAAAAATAATAGCATACAGTCATGAAATTTAAAATAAATATCCTGGTTCATTTTAACAATTACAAAATAAAGTAATAGATACAGGTTGTAATTTTACAGTTTTGCAATTGAATAAATTTAACAAATGAAAGACCTGCAACCCCTAAAAGTTATGAAAATACTTAAAATTAGACATACTGTACAGGGAAATAAAACATTAGTTTATATTTTTTGTAACAAACAAGACAAATGCCAATAGACAGTCTAGATGTAATGAAAATTAAACTTCCTTTCTTTCCAGCAACTCTTCTGTCGGTTCATGAAAGCACAAACTTGCTGCCAGTTCCTTTTCGATGAAGAGCATAGCCAGTCCATCAACCTCCATTGAGACAGCTGAGGTGCCCCCTCCCTCCTTCGGGATAGTTCTGAATGTACTGCTCCCACAAGTCACAATTATAACATTGAAATATTAGGCCACATACAGTAATGTATACTGATGTCCAATTGGCTGTAATCCCTTTCCTATCACAGCACTGTACAGTATTACATAAAAATTATCATTCACAAACTTAAAACTGCTCTCTTGGCACTCATAATTGCATCATTCACTCCGACACCATCATAAGAATTTCCTGCGAGAGTTAAAGGAAGCTTCAGGTCTTTTACAAGCTTCCGGGAATTAAAAACTATTTCTGAATGCCCAACAACATACTGTGGGATGCAGTCTGTCAAGATGCTAATCTTATGACGCACTGGTTTTATACTAATTTTCAATGTTTCTTTAACTTCATTAATAGCAACATCAAGAAGGCTCTCATCAGAAGGATTATCTCCAAAAAGTGTCTTGAACCAATATCCTCCCATCATCACTGTAAGTATAGTTTTGTCACCCTGTGGAAAAGTACATGTATCAAATATTACACCAAGAACTTTGTTGGGTTGTGATGATGGCACAAGGTAACCAAAGGCAGGCTCATTAAGTAAGTGACCAGGATATTCAAGATTTACAACACAGACAGTTACATAAGGAATGGAACCCAGGAGCCTGCTTAATTCTGGGCTGATAGAACGTATTACAGGACTTAAAGTATTAGATGGAAGACAAGAGATAGCTTTTTCAACTTCTAATTCCTCTTTGTCAGTCTGGATAACCAGGTTGCTGCCACTTCTCTTGATCCCAAGCACTGGTGTGTTTCTCCTGAACTCGACACCTTCCTGCATAAGTTTTTCTTCTAAAACTTCAACAAAACTCTCAAGTCCACCTTTTAAAGACCAGACAGCCCATTTTTCCTTCTTTGCTTGTTTAACTAATTTAGATTTAGACAGAACTGGGTCAGCCTTTTCAGCATTTTTTCTATCTTTAAGTAAACCAATTAGAATGGACCC